TAGGAGTAATGAAATTTTGGACTTAATTCACACTGATATCAGTGGACCTTTGCTTTCCACTATATGTGGGAATAAATATTTCATAACTTTCATTGATGATTTCTCACGATATGGATATGTTTACCTGATTAATGATAAATCACATGTACTTGAGAAATTCAAAGTTTTCAAACTGAAATAGAGTAACAATGTGGAAAAAGTATCAAAGTTGTAAGGTTTGACCGTGGTGGTGAGTACCATGGGAAATATGACGAGCCTGGTCAAAATATGGGTGATTTTGTAAAGTTTTTACAAGAGTGTAGAATGGTGCCCCAATACACCATGCTAGGGACACTTGAGCAGAATGATGTTTCTGAAAAATGTAATCGAACCCTAAAAGATATGGTTAGAAGTACGATGAGTAGAACAAATTTGCTTGAATATTTGTGGGGTGAAGCTTTGAAAACTGCTATGTATATTTTGAACAGAGTTTCAAGTAAAGCTGTTGTAAAGACATATTTTCAATTATAGACAGGATGTAAGCCAAGTTTGGCTCACTTTAAAGTTTGAGGATGTCCAGTTGAGGTTAGGATTTATAATCTATTTGAGAAGAAATTAGACCCTAAATCAACTCCTAACTACTTTATTGGGTATCCGGATAGATCAAAGGGATATAAATTTTACTTTCCAAATCGCGGCACTAGAATTGTGGAGTCTATTACTGCTAAGTTTCTGGAGAATGATTTTGGAGATAGTGGGAGTTCCACGTTGAGAGAAATTCTTGTTGAACCTAATGAAGTTTTTGTTCCAATTCCTGTTATACAGAAAAGAGTTGGTTCTCAAACAATTGAAGTTGTTAATGAAGAATCGAGGAACCAGGAGAAACCTCCAATTCCTTAAACAACGATTGAATCGCTTTCTGAGCCATAGGTTAGGAAATCACAAAGGGAAAGAAGATTTGCATTGCTAGTGATTATATTACATATTTATTGGAAAGCGATTTTAATATTAGGCATATTGTTGATTCTGTAACTTATAACCAAGCATTGACAAGTCTTAAAGCAGATAAATGGATAGCTGCCATGAAAGAAGAAATGAATTCCATGGAAAGGAGTAAATTTTGGGATCTTGTTAAACTTCCTCTAGATGCTGAGGCTGTAGACAACAAGTGGATTTTCAAAAGTAAATTAGATTTAAAAGGAAATGTTGAACGAAAGAAAGTAAGATTGGTTGCAAAAGGTTTCACTCAACAAGAGGGCATTGATTATGTTGAAACCTTCTCCCATGTTTCGTCGAAAGATTCTTTTCGAATTATCATGGCTCTCATGGCATACTACAATTTAGAGCTTTTATCAAATGGATGTTAAGACATCATTTTTGAATGGAGATCTTTCTGAAATGGTTTATATGAAACAACCTGAAGGCTTTGTTGTGAAAGAAAAAGAAAACTTGGTATGTAAGTTAAACAAATCCTTATATGGTCTCAAGCAAGCATCTCAACAGTGGTATTTGAAGTTTGATGAGGTTGTGACCTCTCTTGATTTTGTTGAAAACACTGTTGATCATGCATTTATCTCAAAATCAGTGGGAGAAACTTTATTTTTCTTGTACTGTATGTTGATAACATTCTGCTTATTAGCAGTAACTTAAGATTGCTTCATGAGATGAATAAAATGTTGTCTGCTAATTTTGAGATGAAAGATCTTGGAGAAGCTTCTTATGCATTTGGCATTGAAATACATCGTGACAGAAATCATGGCTTATTGGGACTTTCTCAGAAAGTTTATATACGACGTGTTCTAGAATCGTTTAATATGCAGAACTATGCACCTGGTGATGTACCTATTATAAAAGGAAATAAGTTTAACAAAACTCAGTGTCCGAGGAATGAGCTAGAAAGGGAATCTATGAAGATGATTCCATATGCTAGTGTTGTGGGGAGGTTAATGTATACTCAAGTTTGCACTAGACCGGATATAGTCTATGCAGTCAGTGTCCTTAGCAGATTTCAGTCTAATCCAGGACAAAAGCATTGGAAAGCAGCTAAGAAAGTTATGAGATATTTGAAGAAAACTGAAAGTTATATGCTTACATTCCAGCGTACAAATCATCTTGAGATGGTAGGATATTCAGATTCTGATTTTGTTAGATGTTAAGTTGATTTGAAATCAACCTCAGGTTATATTTTTTACATTAGCTGGTGATGTTATTTCTTGGAAAAGTGCTAAACAAACTCTAGTGGTATCTTCTACTATGCAAGCTGAATTTGTGGAATGTTATGGGGCTACAGTCCAAGCCGTTTGGTTAAGAAATTTCCTTTCTGGCTTCAAAGTTGTTGATTCCATCTCAAGACCGATCACCATCTACTGTGATAATAGTGCAGCAGTATTCTTTTCAAAGAATAATAAAAGTTCCAGTGGGTCAAAACATATTGACATCAAATATTTGGTTGTTAGAGACAGAGTAAAAGAAGGGCAGAAGAAACATATCAATGCAAAGGCAATGATTGCAGACCCTTTGACTAAGAGACTCGCTCCAAAAGTCTTTAAGACACATGTTGCTAGTATGGGTATTGTGGAAACATTTGATATTTTTGGTTAGTGGGAGTTATATATTTATGTAAAGAAATACGTTTTGGGCTTGATCCCTTTGTGAGGTACGTAGGCAACCGATATGTTTTCGGGTACAGCCCCTTCTGATAATAAAATATTTTTCTCCTAACCATGAACTATTTTGAGCATGCATTTGACTTATGTCTTTTCATAATATTACTGGGATCTTGAGATATGACATATAAAGACATAAGATAAGTCTCTTTTGGAGACATGTGACTTCATTTTGATCCGAAGCATTATGAGGACCGACATGAATTAACACAATTTTTTTTATCACATTTGGTGCTAAATTTATACCACATACTGTCACATTGGTTGGAGGAGGGGATCTATGTCGATAAGAATGTTGGCATTTGTAGTTGTGGAATGATCTTACATCATTTAATTGGTGTAATGACTTCCATGTTCGATGTTAATATTCTTGTTGGATCGGATCATGTTACGTAAGGTGTCATCATTGGAGCTATACTTTTGTGGCCACCTATGTAGTCTAACTCGAGTATTAAAACTTTGTTATAGCAATCAAATGTTTACCCAAGTGGGAAAATGTTAGAATAATTTCATATGTGGGTTTCACATTCGATTGCAAATTTTACGGGTTAGGTGTATGGGTTATAATGATATTTGTGATTGGGCCAAATTTATTAAGTGATCAATTGGGTCTTTTATACTTTACGGATTATGATTAATTTGATGTGGTAATTTTTAACATGTGGGCCAAAAATAAACCATAATTATAATTCTAGTCGTAATGGGACGACTCAATTATTTCCTATATAAAGGCTATGTCTCCCCTCCTGTCCATATGTTTTATTAGCTTGCCTCATTGATAGCTAATACTTTGTAAGGAGCAAGGAGGGAAAGATGTTGGCTGCTATTATAACTATTATTCATATCAATAATGGCTTCCGCATGTATGAATTCGTTTTATTAATTTATTGTATTGTGATTCTCGATTCTTAGCATGATTACAAATAAATTCAACACTAGCAACACGGCGAAGCTATATATGTCGCATTTCTCAGTGAACTTAAATGTTTGGTAATACATGGGGTCGAAGTATCCCAGTGTCCCTACCACATTCGAAGTTGAAACATGAGTGTGGTCTTTGAAGATTGCTTTTGAAATGTAGAACCCCAAATAATTTTAAACACTTTAGTGGCACAAAGACATGAATATTGGATGACTAAAGTATACTTCAGGTTTTTAGTCTCATTTGAGATCCATTTACGACATAGAAAACATTCAATTTGGAAAATGATATCTAAAAAAAAGTTGTAGCTCTTTGAGTTGGCTTTCCAACGCACTATGAATTACCTCAATCGGATATCGGGAGAAGAAGTTATGACAAAAATACTAAAGGTTGTACAGTATCAACCGAAGTACGCGGAATATGAAAAGTCAAATTCTTACATGATTTTCTACCACCTTCTTAAACATATAACTCCTACATAAATGGCACCCGTATTAATAAGTATTAGGCCCTTCACTTGCCCTTAAGTTGTGAGATTTTCACCTATAAATAGGCCCCAATGCATACACATTTTTCACATCAAGATAAAAGCTTCTAAGCATAAAAGAGAGAGTTTTCAAGTCTAGAAAAAAGAGAAAGGAGAGGAAGGAAAATTAGTTTTTCCTAGAAGTTTTGGTGCTATCAAGAAGTATTTTCCAAGCATCAATTCTCAACGGAGTTTTTTTTTTAAACATCAAAGGAGTGCATTTGTCAACAAGGTTCAAAGCATCAATCAAGGTAGGTAGAGGTGCAAAGTGTTAATTCGTGTTAAGTTATAAGTTTCTAGCAAATGAAGATTTATGTTAATGTTTGTATGTCTATTGATACCTCCGGTATGGCATACACCTCCATGTCTAAGGTAACTCCGGGTACAACATGTACTTCCGGTCGAGGAGCCGTGTTAAGTCATGACTTTATGTGTTTGAGATTCTACCGAAAATCTTACTATGAAAAGGTTTCTAAAGTTACAGCTTTGAAATGTATAGCTTGATCACGAATGCACCAATGATATCTACTGAGGTTTTTTTAACTCACGGATTTAATCACTTCTCTACAGATTGATATGATTCTACCTTGGACCTGGTTGATGGAAAAGATGGAGAGTGGCGCAACGAGCCCATGGAAAAACTCGATGAACCAGTTATTTAGATTTATTTTTGTGAACGTTTTCAATGTTATTTT